TCTGGGGCAAGTAGAGATGGAGCCGCCCTGGTGAGCAGCAGCCCTGTGCCTTCCTGCCTGCGTCCTGCGGGTCGCAGCCTGGCATGCAGGCACACGTGGATGCAGGCAGTGAGAATCTGGGCCGTGGTTACATTCAGCTTTTCATCTGGTGTGGAAGCGTACACCGTGTTCCTGATTTGCATTTGGATGTATAATTTTCAAGCTGTTCTTGACTAAACAATGAAATGTCTGTAATTTGATTGCCTTCCCTTTGTTGGTGCACATAATAGTCACTTCTGTTCTCCTGCAACAGAATGAAGTTTCCAAAAATAAAGTGACTTTGCCCTCCTGAAGGTGCCAGCCCAGGTGCCACTTCTTGCCCTTAGGAAGACAACTCGGCGTCACATATCTGTCTTTTTCAGTCGTATTTTTCTGCTTGATATTTGAAATCCCCTGAAATGTTGGAGTCTGATTCTGACCTCGCATCTTAAAATCCGTGGAGTGACTTTAAGACTCGTTCCTTCTTCCATTAATAGCAATATAACTGCAGTATAATTTTTCCCCATTGGGGAAATATCGCCTCATTGTTTTGTTAAACCCAGAGCGCTTTGTCTGCAATGTACTCATCAGCAATTACTCATGTGCTGAGCGTTTTGTCACAGTTACTTACTGCTTACAAGCCAGTTATACATAGCAAACAGGGCCAGACTCTCGCTGCTGCAAGCAGCTGTAAGGAGTGTGACAATACAGCCATGCAAATTTGCAGCAGCTGGATTCTTGGCTCCTCACTTGGCTTCTGATTATTTAAAAATGTTCTCTCCTTCTGTAATTTTATTTGCATAAAAACACAGCACAATAATTTGACGACTACTCACCCTCACGCTGTGCACAGAAACAAAACAGCTCGCGATGAAACTGAGCAATCCCTTCTCTTCCCCCTGAAATCACACATCTTTCGCTTTCTCTCCTATGGTGTGACTTACAAAAGTGGCTTACAGTGCAGTGGGGAAATGAGTAATGCGGAGTTGTTAAATGAAAAGGATTATTGTTCAGTTAGCTCGTGGAACAAAGCTTCCCAATAAATGTCGTGTTCTGCCGGGCACTGGCTGCTTTGTGCACTTCATACCACAGTCATACTGTTCCCGAGTGCTCATCCGCAGCAGTATTCTTTAATGCTTAACTCGGTGACCTCACAAAAATAATTGGTGTGAAGCAAATTTACTTAGCCCTCTGCCTTTATTTGCTGACTGAATGGCTCCAAGAATTGTGCATATTGTTTATGGAAATGAAGAGAGAAAAGAAAACAGAAAGTTGCTCTGCAGATAAGACGGCCGTGCACAGAAGGAAGGCGGGGGCTCAGTGCCAGTCCCCCCTGCACTGCGGGCACCTCAGGCAGGATGCTGACACACTGATACAGCTGCAAATCAGCTCGGTGACTGCGAAGGTCCAGGACAGCTGCTGTGATTTAAAACAGTTAACATTTTTGACATTATTAAGTTAAAATTTCGGGTTTATCTGTGAGCTTTGACCAGTAATTATCCCCCAGATGCAAACAGCAGTAATTTATAAGCAGATTTCTCCTGACTTGCAAGTGAAAGGACAGGATAGATTCTCATTTCTCTGTAAAAGTCTGTACAAACCCTGGCATAGCCCTAATTGAACCGTTGGGGGAAGAGTTTTGGCACGAGCTGTGTTCCAACCTCAGAGCATCGTGCCCAGCTGCCCTTCCCTGTCCCATAGCATCGTGCCCAGCTGAACCCTGCCCTGCACCAGCCACAGCTCCGTGCACCCCGAGGTGCTGCAGGAGGACAGGGCAGAACTCCGCCAATTTGTGAGCAAATACATTTATACACGTACATACGTGAATCCTCCCCATGGAAAAATCCACTCCCGCAGCTTAAATCGGTGATAGACATAGCAGCATCGCTGGGCCTGATGTGCATGTGATAGAACCACGCTACAAAAGCAGCTTACCAAACAGCTTGCAGAGATTAGCTAACAAGAACTAAGTTATTCTTTTCAGAAGGTGTTATTAGCATATTTTTCATCAATACTATACTTAACAGCTACTACATAGCAGGAAGTGGTATTTAACCTCTTGTTACAATGTAACGAGATTACTTTGTATGGTTATGTTACATTCCATTCATAAAGGCCCTCCTGTGTCCAGTTAATTAGATTCACTGTTTGGCAGCATTAGCTTGAAGAAAATGCAACAAAACGTATTTGGAATATTTAAATGTTAAGCCTTTGTTTTGCCTTTCTTTCTTTCAGGCTGTACTGAGCTATGTAAAACTTGATATTGAGCGATTGGCATTCATTGCCCCCTCTGCCCGGCCTGATGAATGAGGAGCGTTAACCATTTAAATCCCCGCAGCTAATTCTCACAGTTCTCTGAAATGCGGGACGATCACCTCATTTCTGAGCCCAAACCGGGGGGTTTGGTGTTGTTCGGCTGCAGCTCTGCGCTGTCAGGACTCTCTTGCTGCAAGGTTTGCTTTCCAGTGAGCTCAGGCTCGGTTTGGGCAGGGGAACTTGGAAGGGGCTGAATCACAGAATGGCCAGGGTTGGAAGGGACCTCAAGGATCACGAATCTCCAACCCTGATCTGAGTTCAGAGCCTGGAATCGAGCAGTAAGGCAGGGGTTTGGAATGCCCGATTTCTGCCTGAAGTGGCTGCTGTGGTCTTAGCAGTTTTCCTGTGAAAAAAGTGTCCTTTTCTTCTTTTACTTCTTTTCCTAAAGATTTCCTGGGTTGCACAGCTGGTGCCAGGAGTTCTATTCATCTGAAAGATCCAACATCAGTTAATAAAAGAATGAGTGAAGAAATAAACTTGCAAAGGCTGCGTGTAATTTGGAAGAGTTGCATCAAGCAAAGAGGGGTTGGCATCTCCCTCTTCCAGGAGCTCTTCTGTGCTTCCACAACAAAAGCCTTGAAAAGCAGGCAAACAGCTCTGCTCCTCCACCTTTCTGTCTTCTGTGGGAGCCATATCATATGGCTTTACTCTGTGTATAAGAAAACAAAAAAGTTTAAAAAAGAGGAGGAAAAAAATGTCCCAATCACTGATGAAATGCAGCACTGCAGTGCAACATTGCCACTGTTGCACACCTGGCCGTGGTGTTACAGGCTGCACTACCAGTGCAGATGCACAAAAGTCACATTGGATCATTTTTTTCTGCCCTGCCTTCCACCCACCTTCCCAAGATCATCAACACAGCCCTCACCCTCTGCACTCATTTTAGGCAAAAGAAAATTTACAAGAGAGCAGGGAAAGTATATTTATGTATTTCCATGTCCAGTGTTATTATTATTATTTAAAATAAAAATAAAACATTTGTAGATATTTGTTCTGCATGAAAACCTGATAACTACATTCAAATTATTGTCTGTTTGTTTGTTTGTTTGTTTGATGCTCTGAAAGTGCAGCCAAGCTGTCCTGAATCCCACACAGCGCCCACTTCGGCTGCAGGCAGGGCAGCTCCAGCCCTACAGCCAGCCATCAGCAGCTGTGACTTGCACTTCCAGAGCACTGTGGGGCAGATGGAGCCCACAGGCACAATGGTGCCCGCAGAGGGAAGGGGACACGTGGCCACCTGTGGCTGTGGGCACCTGGGCCACTGCCCATCTCTCTGGGGCAGCCTCAGCCACAAGTCTCACGGGAAGGGCCCTCCCCACACATGCACCAGTCACACTGGGTAACAAATTCCAGCTTTTCCACGACTTCTTTCAGATAAGAAATTCTTTAAAATATTTTGTTTGCGTGTTTCCAGGCTGCAAAATTAATTTAAAGGGACACTGCCAAGGTTAGCAAGCTCAGAATTTGATTTGAGTGACTGTGTGTGTTTCCTAATGACTTTGTAAAGTCTGCAGAGATCTTTACATGAACGCTCCTTCATTTTATTGTATTGTTTTCTCAAGACAAAGATATTTCTCCAGGGAAAATGTATAAAGGCTGCAGGTCTGGCTTCATGGGCACTCCTTCTAAATCCGCCCGGTGCTCATACATAAAGGAAGGAAAGCAAATTAGAAAGAAAGAAAGCTTCTCTTTCAAGCTTTCCAAAAAAAATGAGTTTATTTTAAAAAGAAAAAGGAGTTGAACCAAGAGTGCTGTGCAGCAACTTAAGCAACACTGGTTGAAATTTAAAAACCAAACGAACGTAGCAAGTGTTTGTTGGTGGATTATGGGGCACTCATTGACTCCAGCAGAGTTCCCACACTTCCCAGGGCTGCACTCTCCCAACATCTGCTTCAACCCTTCCAGATGCAACCAACTAATCCCCACATCTGCACTTTTCCACTGTAATTGCTGGATTTATCAATTATTCAGTCGATAACCTGTAAGATGTGTATCCTCCTATATGCAGTTGCAGAGTCTTCCTTTCCCCCTCACTGTGACCTTGCTTGATGAAACAAGGCAGTGATGCTTTTGGGTTCCTTGTTGGCTTTGCCTCAAATACATGGGCACGAATGTCATTATGTGCCACCTTTAGCTCTGGAAATAGAGCTCTCATTCAGATATCTTACTGACACCGTGGTTGTGGCTTTAGCTGATTGTAGAAATGGCCCAGTTGGAATAACAGAATGTCCCATTCAATACAAGCCCTGCAGACTTGCCAAAGATGAGGTGATCTGCTCTTGAACTGTGAGTTATCATAGAATCAGATACAGATAACTTCATCTTGAAGGTAAATACCTATTCCTATGGTATCACTTCAGAAAGGAAACTCAAGGAAAGTTCCCAAAATACATCCGTGTGGTTGAATTAAAGAGGTAGTCTTACCTCTACCAGTTCTGAAGTTCCCTAAAGCCAGTACCAAGCGTTTTTCTATAACATTTTCTGTTACAGCTTTGTGTTTATTGGTTGTTCTGGCGTTCTGTCTTTATTTCAAGAGTGAAATAAGGACACATACTTACTCATATGGATAAATATTCTTACTTGTCCAGATTCATAAGTGGTACAGAGAAGTGATGGAAGCTTGCTCTGCTGGTAGGTGTCCTCTCTAATGTTTCGCTCTGTTTCTGTTCGTTTGCAGCAGCCAGCAGAAGAACACATGGAACTACACTGCACAACAAACTGTTGTGACATGAGGATGGGCTGTCCCGACATGAAGATGGGCTGTCGTGACATGAGGATGGGCTGTCGTGACATGAGGATGCTGTCACAACACGCCAAGTTTCTGGGTGCAGGTGGGAGCTGTCCAGCAGGGCCTGGAGCTGCAGGGGCTCCCAGCTGCTGCTCTGCCTCACATCCTGGGAGCCACCGACTCTGTTCTGCTGCACCAGGCAAACACCAGGGGTTGGTTTCATCTCCTGTAAAAGCAAGAGAAACGGTGTGCAGTGAGTCCTCCCTTCTTTATGAGCACACACACACACACACACGGTTTGTGGCCTCGGTGTTGGTGCCAAACAAGCTCAGCACAGCTGTGGCAGCCCTCCATCCCTGCTGGAAAGGAAGCACCCACCTGCACAGGTCACTGTGGGAAACACAAAACTGATCGTATAGGGATTTGTTTAAGGCTGCATCGTATCCCTTACATGAAAGCAGTATCTGTAGGAGCACTCTTTATTCCTTTCCTGCAGGGCTTTCTTGAGTATCTTTTTTCCCATCTGTGTTTTAGGACCCTTCCCATTTCACCTCTTACTGATAAACCATTAGGCTGAAGAGCAAAAAGCAACACAACTGCTCCTCCATTTGTCCGGTCAGAGACTGAAGGAAGCTATATGTGATGGAATTCAGCAAAGTATTGTGTCACACCCCAAAATTTAAACTGCTTCCACCAGGATTGCGGATATGCACAATGTTGGGCATGCACACAAGTAGCTTGTCAAATGGTGGCCTAAAATGACGTGCTATTTGTCAGTATAAATTCTACTTTAACACTTATTCTGGACCACCATGGTAAAATAAATCATTATCTTTGCCACTTAGTACTAATGAAAAACAATATTATCGGTATTTCTTCTATAGCAATTCACTCAAAGAGAAATGCTGTGCAATTACAGGGGGTGGCTAACCATGCCTCTTGATCAACCTGATAATTAATCGGAATAGAAGAAAAAGCCCTGTATTTCTGAGTGCTGATCAGGCAGCAAAGGCACTCCAAACATCTGAAGAAAAAACAGTTTGTTAATTGCTGTCTAGACAGTTTATTGCTGCAATAAGATCAAAACACAGAATACTGAGGTTTGGGGTATGAATCATGCAGACTAAACAATTGTTTTATTGCATTTACAGAGCACTTGATTTATAATGCAGTCAGTTTGGTAATAAAATTCCTCTATTGTATATCCTGAATAATTTCACCTCTTTCTGCATCTTTCTGTTTTAATTCTTTATCAGGATGTTTTAAAAATATCCTTATGGAGGGCAGATTACTGTTGTGTACGTATAAAGTTACCCATCTCAGACCTCAGTTATATCATCACTGAGCATACAGTGCTCAGCTGAGCCTTTGTCAGCTGCTGGAACTAAGGACACATTGAAGAACAGATTTATTGGGCTGCTGTGTGCAGTGAGCACACTAGAGGAGAAGTAAGACTGTCCCATTGCAAGAGGTTTCATTCTACTTCATGCTGAACTAAAAGGAATTGTTCAGGCAAGTGACTTTTTTTCTTTGATACTTATTACTCTGCAAAACATTTTTCCTGAAAGGAATGATTCATCTCTCTTCTTGTGTGAGTACCTCTGGAAGACCACAGTTTAAGGGGATTTTCCCAGAAACCCAGAAACTACTGGGATGAAGTAAGTTACTCTTGTCTTCAGTGAGTGCTGAAGTGAGATAAGGGAATAGCTGCATGAAACTGAGTCTGCACAGTATGCCAATTTTCCAGGGAACATAAAGTGTTGTTGCCTATGTCTTTATATAAGAAAACTTTGTATTGTTTTCCATTTCTCAGTTTTGTGATCATTGTGATCATCCCAGTGTCCATGAGATGCAAAGACAAAACGAATTGGAGTGTAGTTTTGGAGTGAAATCAAACCAAAGATCCCACGTAGGGCAGGACCAACTTTTCTGGGTATCCTGAACACATGAGGAGACAAATCTGCAGAGACAGCTGGAGGAGCACAGGGGATGGTGTGCAGCACCGAGGAGGAGCTGGCATGAGAAAAGGTGGGACTGGGTGACTCGCTGGGCACTGTTTGTTCACGACCGACCCTACAGTTCTGTGCTCCTAGGAAGGCAGGAGCCTCGGGAGTGTGCTCAGATGAGGAGCCTGTTGGAGGCTGGGGCCCATCTGGTGGTTCCACAGGTTCTGGGACACTTCCTGGGAGCGTGCAGCAGGCACAGACAGCGTGTTCTTTGCTCCAGAACTGTCCCTGGGACAAAAGAGCAGAGGAGTTTATGGTGGAGAAAGGCAGAGCAAGATAATTGTGTCCAGGGAAAGGCACCAAAGTGTTGTAGGTGATATGAGCAACAAGTGTAGGTGCTGAGAGGAATCAGGGACCAAAGACCGTGGGAACTGCAGCACAGCAGCCAGTGTGCAATCCTACACAGCACTCTGCCCCTTCCTCCTCCGGCAGCGCACCTTCTCTCCATCAGTTCTATGTGAGCTGTTACAAGAACACGTATCTGGGGCAGTCAACCCTTTGTGTTTTCTTTTACATGGCTTTAAATGCTGTTAGAAGTACTTCTGTTGTTTATTGCTGCTCAATAAAGTTTTATCTTGTGAGAGTCATGATTTATTTACTCCATCTTGCAGAACCGACATGTGCTTTCTCCTGCATCAGCACCCCTTTACCAGATTCATAAAATGTGTTAACAATTCATTTAAAATTCATATAGAAGCCAAGTACAGTTCCTTCCCAAAGCTGCACCAAGTAATATAAAGCAGCACGTGCCCTGACATATGGCACACCATCAGCGTGTGCCTCCCTCAGCTGTAAGTACTGCAGAGTGCTTTTGCAATTGCTCCTGTGACCAGCCAGTCAAACAGTATCTTCCCATTTTCCAGTTACACAGAGTTTTTGTTAATTTTGCCTCTTGGCTTCCTTAAAAACACAGATTATTGGGATAGTTGGTTTAGAGAAAGACTGGCTGAGAGTTTGTCTCCAGCTTTTATCAACTGCTCTTTAATGGGAGTTTTCACTTGCCCAGAGGAGATCTGCTTTTTGCTGTACGTCTGTGTTATGCAAGGAAAAGGTAAGGCGAAAATCAAAACAAGAATTTCTATCTCAGTGTGCTCCTCTGGGATAATCACCTTTGTAATAGCTCCACCAACAGCTTTCCTTCTGAGAGGTGCGATCGTTTTGTGCCTTCGGTGACCTTTTTCTAATGGCTGTGAAATGTCCCTGGTTATTCCCTTTCCCTGCTATGTTTCGTGTTCCTGCAGTGTAGCCACTCACGCCGCTCCTATTTTCCTTTTCCAGCACCAAGAGCCATGGCTGTGAGCATGAACCCAGGACTGCCCACCTCCAGGCTCCTCACAGCAGGGCACTGCCACTTCCAGGTGGAGCCACGACAGGACAGATGTGGGAACACAACCTGAGCCTTCAGCATCCTCTGGTATCTCATGATACTTCATAGTCCCCAACCAAGTTGTACGTAAGGAATCCGCAGTGCCTCCGCAACGCTCTTTTTTCCCTCTCTATTCCCATGTTAATAGTGTCATGTGCTGAGAGGGGCACATTTGGGATTTCCAGAGCGAAAACTATTGGCAGTTTTATGCTGGCCCAAACAGTAACAATACAGTTTTGGGGTGTGGACAGGTCCCAGGCATGTGCTTAGGCTCTAGCTGTCCTTCAGAGGAATACCCAGCTGGGCAGCCCTGCTCACCGTGGAGTTAGGAGTCCTTGCTGCATTCCTCACGATGTTGCTACACGTGTTTGTGCAATATTTGGCTTATTTGTGCAACATAATTAATGAAACATGTCTCATTGGCACCAGCATCCCTAGGGACCCTAAGCAAATGGGAGCCTCTGAAGCATTAAAGGGCCTTAAAAGCAGAAAATATTTACCACAAGTTTATTAAACCAAGCTTTACTGGTAGTAAATTAGCAGCCTGTAGACATGCCTTTTTCTTGCGGAGCTGATATTAATCTTTCAGAAAAATACAGCAACCTCTTACAATTTTCATTGCACTTTTCTTTCTTTCAGCTCCCAAGCACTTTGCAGCCCAGCCTCCGGTGTCTGTTAAGCCCTCCCTTCTGTTCTCTGCAAAAAACAGCAACGAGGGAGAGGGACCCCCATTCGTGTGCCGACCTCAGAAAGTTTGAGAACGACACCAGGCCTCATCCAGTGCTCGCAGGGTCTGAGCAAAGCCCCGCACATAAAACCGCCGCGTTATTCCTTTTCACGGAGCCGCTGATCCATGACGCTGGAAGTATTTTAAAGACATTGACCCAGAGTCTCAGTAATGGAGCTGGGGGTGGTAGAAATGCCCGGTCTGTTCCTATATCTGCAGTTTAGGTTATGTGATCTTCCCGTGCTGCTTCAAAACCACAGAACACTGTGGGGGTGTTTGTGAATTTGCACAACTCTTATACTGCACCATTGTATGGTAAGTTATAGTGGAGCCTCTCCTGAGCTCATTAACAAAAGCCCATTGTGTGAGGGTGTTATGCCCCACGTGCTCAGCCCGGGACATGTACGTGTCTCACGAAAGTACTGGGGATCTTGCATGAGAACTGCTTTCTAGTATTTCTGCTTGGACTTTAATGACATTTGTGCAGGTGCACAGCTTGTAAAAGGAATCTTTTTCAATTCAGCTGTAGCAGCCATTCCTAGCAAAGCTGGATTTTTAGAAGCAGCCTCCAGAATTGTTGCTGCATCACTTAGTTTTACTCCTTATTATTTGCTAAGGCTGTGCTCGAGTGTATTTCCAGTAAATAGGGTATTTCTGTGCGTGGCTGGGAGAAGGCTTGTGCCCCTCCATGAAACCTAAATCAAGTCCAGGGCAACTGCAAGGGAGGATGCGTGCAGACACAAATAAGCTCTTTTCAGCACAATGCTGCTTCACATTAGTAGACGATTAAGTTTTATTGCAAGATCAAACCCTTTGTGTCATCAGTGTACCTGACTGTGTTTGATATAACTTGATAAGAGCTGAAGGTGTAAGTGGCAGGTGTGACCATGCTTCCATGACAGAAGAGACTGGCAACAGATCCAGAAATGGATCACAGGTCGGTAGATCAGCACTAAAAGGACTGTGGGGAAAAAAAAGTGCAGGGGTTTCTGTGCTGCTGGCAGCCATCGCTGCCCCACCAGTCCCTGTGCAGTGCAGCTGCAGATTTCTGGGAGCCCCCCGTGCTGCGGCCATGGCAGTGGGGCAGTGGGGCTGCCCAGCAGTGCTTTGCAGGGCCGGCATGGTGCACCCCTCCCCCCTCCTAAATCCTGCAGGGCTCAAGCTTATTTGTACAACAAACAAGGCCTGACTGGAGTTTACCGTGCAGAATTGTGCCTCTCTAATATCATTCAGCTGCGTGCGTATTTCATTGCAAAGAAAATAGAGCAAGGACTTCCATGAGGTTCCTTCATTGGTGGCCATTGCATTGATGCTAATTGCTCATTTGAATTCTTCACGTGTAAAGAAGCTTGTTGGGCAGGGTTCTGAAAAAATGTCCATCAGCAGCCACTCATTAAAGTACTCAGAGTTACAGGCACGAGTGGGATCAGAGTCACCACTTCTAGTTTCTGTCACACAGGCACCAACCCTTTATAAATCATTAATTTCCAGACTGTTTATTATCCGGGGGAAGTAACAAAGCAGTAGTATCACATAACACATCCTAAGAATGCCTTGTTCATTTTAAGAGCAAATAAAACTGAATAGCACCAAGTTGTTAGTGATGCAGCCTATGAGACGGAGCAGAAAGACAAAAAGGGGGATGAATCAGGCTGGGGCCACAGAACAAACAAGGGAATGGGTCAAAAAAGCCCTTGTGCTAGAGAGCCTCCACGTCCCGTATCTCCACACAGATGCTGTTTGTTTGCTACCAGGTGGAAATTGGCTCTGCTGGCTGCGCTGGGACAGCACGACAGTGCAATGGGTGGGAAGATTTCCCCAGCTGCTGTTGCCATCCATCGGCGCTCTCACAGGAATGATTTAGCTCCTGTCCATGGGCAGGGAGCAGCGCGTTTCAAAAAATAATAATCAAAATTAATTACTTTGCCAAGAAAGCAAACCGCTGTTGTTTTGCTTACAAGCCCCCTTCTGTAATGCGTTGCTCACATGTTGCTCAGGGTGTGAGGAGGAGCTGACATTTATGTTTGTGTCAGCTGTGCCACAGAGCTGCAGTGCGGGGCGGGGGGTGAATGGGACCCAGTTCGTAGTGCTCACGGGGCAGTGCTGAGCTGTGCCCATCACTTATTCCTCCCAGTTCTGCTAGTAGCAGCAATGCCCGGCGCTGTCAGGCCTCGCAAGCACAGACCGTGTTGGCTTCTTCTCAGCTTAGCTTAAAGCCATCCCTGGTTTTGGAGGTACAAAGCTCTTTTCTGGCCAGCATTACTGAGCTTACACTGGGCTGGCTTTTTTGCTCGCCTCATTCAGCAGTCAAGTATTGCACTTCTGAAGGTGATGCTAACTGCAGCGCAGGCCTCCGAGACGATTATGGTCCATGTGTTACTTATTTTAGTCTCTTAAAGTTCCAAAACACTCCATTTTTACAGTCGCTATTTGAAGTTATTGTTAGTTACAAAATATTAGAAACATAGTTTCATCTATAAAATGCATAATTAATTTAATCTTTACCATATTTTGTTTTACATCGTACAGGAAGCAGTTTAGTCTGATGAGTACCACAGGCGTGTAATTAGTGCTATATACAGTAAACTTGATTATAACTTATACTGTCCACCCTGGCTCCAAAAATCCTTGCAGATTTTCATTCAGTTGCTGCCCTCTCTCTGAATGAAAGCTTTTCAGTTCAGCCACAATCATTCAGACCACACCGGTACCTTTCCATAGGTCGGATGTGGTGGCAGTTCTAACACAGGAGTTAGTGGGAAAGTCTCCAATTAGGCATTTGCTCTGTGTTTAGCATCTACCAGAGTTTAAATGCTGACCATCTGATTTCTTAAGCTGAGGTTTGCCTAAGTCAGGGTTTAATGGGCATCAGGACTGCGAGAGAAAAGGAAAGAGAAAATGCTTCTGAGGAATTTCTGAATTTCAGAGAGAAGGAGACACCTGCCCTGGCTGAATGAAAGGCCCCTTACGTGCTTATCTCCAACTGCCAACACTCAAACACCTTTAAAAATCAGGCAGGATGCTGATTTCTTTTTTTTTTAATGCTTAAATGCATAACAGCAAATCCATTAAAAAATCTCCTTGCTCCTTTGATTTGTTCTTTCCATTGGCTGAGAATCTTTGGCAATGGATGCACCTCTGAGGGATCTGCCCTTGGTAGCTTTGGCTGAAGATGACTGAGGTGTAGCAGCAGCTTTAGGGCATCTAACAAAGCGCTCCTGCCATGAGCTCCTGCTTCTGGGTGAGGCATCCCTGGTGGGAGAGCAGTGCCCATGGGGGCAACGGGCTGCTGCGCGCGGGGGGGCCTCGCCAGGAGGAGGGGCAGCAGGGGAGCGGGGCAGGCCATCCATTCTCCTATTACAGGCCATCCCTGTGTTTATATCATCTTGTTTAGCTTACTCCTAATGCACATCCTAAGACGTACCTCTAATACACATCCTAAGACATGTTTATGAAAATTCTTTATAAGCAAAATATTTTACTTCCATGGAGGAAGTTCAGATACAGAGCAGCCTCAGCGCCGCGCGGTCCCACATTGCTCCTGCCCTCCCTGTGCATCTTTTCCTGAAAAATTCAGCCTCCAGCCCACCCACATCACCGCAGCAAGAGCCAATAATCGTAACATATGGATCCTCGGCCAATCTTGTTTTGTTCTTGTTAACATGCTTGCAAGCAGTAATCATTCTTCAGAAGATTAAATACTACTTAGGGCTGCTGAAGGTGAGTTGTTAGCTGGACAGCCAGCAATGGGATTTTGGATCCATTTTTGTTTTAATTCTTGAAGCGCTTCTTCAGAGCAGACCCCCATCCCTTCTTGCAGCACGCATTCCCTCGGTGTGATTCTCCACTGCCCACGAATTGGGAAATCTGAAACATCAGATGGGCATCATTGAACTGGTCAAACTACAGACACACCTTGGTCTGAAAAGGATTTTGAGCGTTTACTGAACCCATTGACTCCATTTGTGAGTGCTCAGCACTTCTGAAAATCAGGCAAGAAGCTTTTAAAGATTAAACAATAGCCCGACTCCAGCAGGAAATAAAATCATTTAAATTTTGAAGAGAGACACATAAAAAGGGGACGTGACATTCGAGAGATATTTTATTATGTTAGACAGCAAATTCATAGGAAATGCTTTTTCTGTGGAGTGATTTATGGGGCTGAGGGACTCACGGCCATGGAGACAAGGTTTTAAAAGTTTCAGGCGCAGACTGGATGACAGAACTATCTTTGTTTAACTGTAATTGCTAATAGCGTATCTGCAAGGGTTGTTTAACCTCAGGCTTTGGGGTCTAATCTATACTCTGGTTTTCAGGTCAAGATGAAACCTAACATGGTGGCTGGTTATCTCACATCAGCTTAATGCAGGCTCCCTCTCACTGCCTGCCCTGAGCACCCCATCAAGCACTGGTGCTCAGACACTCGGGAGGAGGTACTGCGCAAATGCCCTGCAAAGGGATTCTGCCGATAGAAGACAAGAGACAACGAGACCTACAAGGGCAGCAATAACAGGCTACCTATATAGAAGTTTTTCTCCTTGATGCTATGATGCAGCCCCAGAGTCTCATTGTACACAGACCCAATCCCACACACCCAGATCTCAGACTCATCAGAACGCAGACGAGCACAGCTTGCTGCACTGCTGCACTCAGCCTTGTCCTGCATTATTTATGGTTATTCTCTTTGGGAAAGAAAACAAACAACAACAACAAAAGTTGTTTACACACTTTTAAAACTCATAAATATAACGAACCCAAGGCACTTTGGCAAACCTGCCTTATGGCCGGCCTTGGACCTGCTCATGTGGTCATGCTGACATGTCTTCCTACCTCCAAGGAATATATCACTTGCAGCCAATCTATCACAGTGACACACCACTCAGAACACTTCTTTCTCTTCATTCATCCATTACTTCACTTCCTGCCATCCATCTCCCTTGAGATTTCTTCTCCTTATTTTTAATACCTGTGCCAAGTTGTATCGCTGCCATCTATTTACCTACTGTGATCATCAGAATAAAACCAGAAAGAGACTGAAGCCATCGGGCCAAAATCTGATTACCTGCATCTCTTTTTATTCACATATCATTGATGGTATCTGGAGAACTGAACGTGCACTGGGTTTGAATGAATGAATTTCACATGAGTGAAATAAACAGAGGAATCTGCCTCACAGGAATTTGGGGGGAAAAAAGGGAAAAAAAAAAAAAAAAAAAGATGGTATTAACTTAGATTTCCCAGAAAGCTCTAGAATAAACCCCCTGAGATTTTTCTATCTATCTATCTTTTTATCTATCTATCTATCTATCTATCTATCCATCCATCCATCCATCCATCCATCCATCCATCCATCCAACCATCCATATATATATATATATATTCTGGAAATGTTCTGTTTACTTTCTGGGGATTGCAACCTTGGGGTGAACCCCATGGAGACCCCACATTTTCAAGATGTTCTTTGTTATCACGTCTTTTAAGATTACTTTACAGTTCCATGGAAGAAAAGCTTCTCATGCAACCATTTGTTTCTCTAAGAACTTCAGTTCTAAATGAAACATCAAATATCGTGGGAGTTGGTAACCTGAAACCCAACAGTTTGTATCAAGAAACTGCTCAATACAACAGTGAGAGCTCTGAAAGCAGGCATTCATTTCCAGAAGTGCCATCAGCTGGCCATGTATTGGTACATCCCCAGAAGTCGGGAAGTTTGCAGACACGCATCCTCAAACAGGCACTACTGAATTAGAGCTTTTTCCCTCTTTTCTCAGAAATGCACAGGTGGAATTTCCATAGCGTTCTGCAGAGAACACATAATTCCATGTAAAGCCTGAATAAATAAAATCAGTGTTTCTTGAATGAATGCTGATCGGGAGCAAGGTGGGAGAGCAGCTGCAGGGCTGTCAGTGCAGGGCTGGAGCCCATCTGCACCAACCCAAAGGGTAGGACAGTGAGATGTCCTCTGGCTGTGAAGGAGCATCCCAAAGGAAAAGCTGGAGAGCTCATTCCTTAGGCTACATAGGTGAATTTGTGGATGATTTTTGTCCTTCCTATTTTGTATTATCAATAGGATGCTTCTTCTAGGCTGAGCATCAGGTGAACTAAACACGTTCGTAGTCTTCATTGGCACAACTTCAGTGCAGAGCTGTACAGAAATTAGGGGACAGCCTGCAACACCCCCAGGACGAGCAAACTGGGGTTTGCACTGTGGAATGCATGTGGGCTTCAGACACTGTCAATCCTTTCTTTGTTTCCTGAAATTTCAAGCTCCTTGCAAGCCTTTAGCAATATAATGCCTTATTTTAGCATAACTGTTCCTGATAAATCCCTGTAGATACTGAAATATGTGAAAAGCTGCTTAGCCCTGGGGAGCACCCCCAGTACCTCATTAGAAAAAGATGGAGTAGAGTATCTTAAAGCAAACAAAAAAGTGATGTCCCTATTATAGAATTCCGCGACTTGAGGTAAACCAACCCTAGCCCCGGAAACTGTATCCTGGGTTACTCATTCAGAGTATTCCTCCCTGAGAGGCTGCTTGTTTGTGTATGGCTGCCCCGGGCTATTGCTGCAAAATTCCTCGTGCTGAAGCAACTCCATTCATACAGGCAGGGCCTGAAATAACGCACAGCCAGGCTGACTCCCAGCCAAGCACGGGTAGCTGCAGTTGCAGCCCGACTGATCCGAGTTCAGTCATCTTTACACACAGCACTATCTATTGAATTGGAAACACAGAGAAACAAAGCTGGAGGGAGAAACCGCCTGTGTTTGTCTACGCCGCGCATCCAACAGACCTCCCCCATATCTCAAAGGGTTATAGGATGTATTAACTGAGCTTCAGAATGCCTAATAAGTACATGATTGCAGACTAATTTCCCCTTTCCTAGATGTGAATTTACAGTGGTGACGAAAGAGAAGAAAGCAAACAAAAAGCACAGCTTTCTTCAATCTCGAAAGTGCTCTGAGTCTGAGATGCTGTCCTGGTGAGCTGTGCTGCTGAGGTTTGGCACAAGAAGGGCAACTTGGAGCAGGTAATGGCTGGGTGCCCCCCATGCCTGCTCCAGCCCCATGCCCCTCCCCTGCACCCACAGACTATTTCTCTGTGGCTGTGGTCTGAGGAAATGATCCGGCTGAGTTAGCAACTTCTTTGCTGCAGTGACTGCAGCATAAAAAGCACAGGAGAAAGGTGGGAGCACACAGCTGTGATGCTGCTCAGTGCTGATGCTAAATGTCTTCAGCCTAAGGCTGGCTCCACGAACATGGAAACCCATCCAAAGTCTTACACCACCCAAACTAAAGCCTTCTCCCATCTTTATGCAGTAACTTCACCCTGAGAGAAAACACCGCTTCTCCCGATCGCATCTTTGTCATCATCTGTGTTCATAAAGCACTGCAAATACCGACTGCCCGGATAGAAGGGGAAATGGGGGTGACAGCCTGCTTGCTGGTCAGACAGCCTGTAATGGAGCCAGGCACACAGGGTGTGCGATGAGCAGCTGAGCTCCCTGAGTTTGCTCAGCCCGGAGCAGAGACTGAAGGGAGGCCCAGCAATGGCTGCAGCTCCTCATGGGGCAACAGGGCCTGGGGGGATGGAACCGGGGAGGGGCTGGGCTGGGAGAAAGCTGCACCCCAGAGAGCAGTGGGTACACAGCAGAGCTCAGGGAGCACTGGGACTCTGGTTGGGTTGGGCTTTGGGGTGGTTCTGTGTGGGGCCGGGGGTTGGGCTCCCACTTGGGATGTTCTGCCATTGTAGGATGTTGAGGGAACGCCCTGCAAATTAATGATGCGTGATCAAGTCTTTCAGCCCTCGGGCAACAGTGTTACACCTCGTTGACACAGCTGCAGGGCTGATAAATAATTGCATTTCTCAGGGCTGCCTCACGTGGCCCCCAAAAGCCCAAGTTTTCTCATCTTTTATTTTTCTCTAAAGAATAATACAAACAGGGTTTCAGCATCCTAAAGCCTACCAGCAGACCTCCGAAATCAAACTGCAACCAGAGAAACTTTGGAGGAAACTTAGTATATGAAAAATGATCTTCTAAAAAACACACAGAATGTTCCTTCACCTAATTCTCTGTATCGAACCCCGTGGCATCATCTTCTTTCTCTTTTTCTTCTTCTAATGCATTTCTATTTCTTCCAAACGCAGAAAAACAAACAAACAAATAAAAAAAACAAATCAAAACAGAAAACAACCATTTCCTTTACAAAACGGAACAAAGAGGTTTTTCTTTCCAATCAGTGATTTCGTTTTCTTTTGTAAATGTAAAAAGAAACTCCTGAAAAATCAATATATCGTTGTCAAGTCATGCACAATCAGGAATGGTGCAAGCTCAGAAAATAAAGGAAATTGCAATGTTCCCCTCTCTTTGGTTGGCCTTAGTGCATCCGAGGTGACTGCCCAGCTCCGCCGTGCTGCTGGTTTGTTCCTCTCTGAAAATTTAAAAGCTAATCTCGGAGATGAAAAGAAAAGTTTGAAAAGAATTGTTCTTGGAGTCAAAATTCCTGGTGTCCTAAATTACAGCAACCCCCACCCGGAGCGATTGGCTCCTCGAGGTAATCTGAGCTCTCTCAATTAACTGGCACAG